AAAGAGTTGAGTCACTGGTGCTAATTAAGTTGGACTTGACAGTGAGGCCCACAGCTCAAGTCCCCATCCCTGCTTGCTTTCCCCTTCTTTCTCTGAGGTCCTGTTCTTCTAACTAGCTCCTCCATGATCATCTCAACAGACTTGCAAGGATGGAATCCAGCTCCAGGGCCTTCCATGAATAAGGTTAGATATCTTTCTTTCTCCCATATCTATGACTAGACTTCCAATAGCAATAGTAAGCTTTTTTTTTTTGCCATATTACCACTTTCTAGAGTGGCCACACCTCTTCAGCAGCTAGTCATTTAGCATTATATTGGATCCACAATAATCTGAGCAGAAACAACTACATGGACTGCCGATGCATTGCATCCAGATGAAGGTATGCACACTCAGGGAGTAGATTTCCCACCTACTCCTCCCCACAGGAATCCCTCCAGCCCTCTAAAAATGCTGTGGGGAGCTTCAAGAAATTCTATGGAATGTGATAAAACTGCAGAGGACTATGGAGAAAACACAGGTCTTTGAAAACCATGTGGGAATACTTTTCCTGGGGTATCTTCCATAGGCCAGCTCTCAAGGCACCGGTTGAAGATTCAAGGAACTGCTGTACTTCACCAGGTCTCTCAATCAGGAGACAAAAATTCAGAGTAACTGTTGACATGAGGTGGCTTTAAATCTCCATCCATCTTCACTTTAGTGCAAAGTATATGTATATAGGATGTGCTTGTACGACATCAGCACAGCAAGGACCAACCCTTGTGACATAACCTGGTCCTACCTTTTATAGGATGGGATACTGTTGGCCTGACAAACCCTAAAGGCCAATCCAGAATCCAGCCTGCTGGTTTTTCAGACTCCATCCACGGTATTGTTTTTTTTTTGACCTGGAAAAAATGACCTGGGACTGGAAGATCTCAGAAAACACCTTCTCCCATGTCGACCTCCCTGAAGCTTTAAAACCTGCCTTGCTTCTCTCTTACGTGCAGCTGGCCTTTCTCAGAACCAGGGCTCTTTCTTTTGCTTCCAACCCAGGGCTTTGGAACAGCCCTCCGTGCGTGGTTTCTTTGGGCACGACTGCCCTCCCCCAGCATTCCAGGTAAAGACAATATTATTCCACCCAGCTTTTGAAAGTCAGCCACTGTTTGGTGGTTTCCTGCTGTTTTAATGGATGGAAGTTTGGGCTGTATTAGTTTGCTAATGCCAGTTTTAATGTGTGATTTTAAGACTTCTCATGGAATAGTTCTGCATACCATTTTAGAACTTTTAGCTGGACTAGTCTAGAAAAAGTTTGGCCACGATTATATCTATATGGAGCAAGCTCATTTTCTATGGCTCCAGAGTGTGGGGACTCTATGGATGGATGCAGCTTTTTTTTTAAAAAAAGGGGGGGATTTGCTTTCAACTAAACATAAGGAAGAACTTCCCAATAGTAAGGGCCATTTGGCAATGGAAGGCACTATCTCTGAAGGCAGTCCCACTGCGGTCTTCAGCTGTGGTCTTTCTGCCTTAGTAAGGGGCATTTGGCAATGGAATGCACTATCTCTGAAGGCAGTCCCGCTGCGGTCTTCAGCTGTGGTCTTTCTGCCTTGGCTTAGGCTCGGAAATGATAATCCTTGGGATCTTCTCTTCCCATTGCACAAATCTGTGATTCTTTGTCTTGGAAACCAGATACCTAAAACCATCTTTTACTTGTGTTTGGACCCTTAGTTTGTACACTTAGGCCAGAATCCTACACACAGTTATGTGTGGATAATTCCCTTTGAAAACAATCTTTTTCAGTAACACATGTATTTCGAGAGTTGGCCCTCTTCTGTTGACAAAAATAATATAAGTAGAATAAGTGACCAAATATTGTAATTTTAAAAAACAATGCACCAGCTTGTTTCCAAACTTTTAGAAAAAGTATGCAGTTCTGCTCGTATGGCTCATCAGAACTGTGCCCTGCATATGTCTTCCCTGCCTGAGAAACACAGATATTGTAGGTCCAGAGTTTATATTTTTCACAGCCTACCAGACACAAATACATCTCTTGACTCCCTCTCTCCCCCTCCCCTTGTGTGTGTCTTTCAAAGGTAAGTCCCATTTCACATATACCTCAGGGTAATAAAAGCTGCTCCCTCCATCTTTGCTTCCGCATGGCTCCTCTAGCGACATGCTTTGCATACCATGCAAGTGATGCACCTTCCAAGGGATGAAGTGTGATGTGACTGGAGTGACTGGAATGCTAAATACACAACTAAGGCTGCAATTCTAGAGGTCTTAACTGGGAGCAAGTCATCACTGTGGGAGAAACTACAATGGCAGTAGCAAGAATGGTGTTCAGAGTATGTACAAAGGAGGGTTTCAGATATAGTTCATTATAAATAGTGGCTGACATCCACTAAGTTGGATCTGGTAAGTTGCAGATAGAGTAGGCCATTTGAATCAGTGAGGATTTGGTGAACCATGATTCTGTGGGTTTAGTCTAACTGGGACTTACCATTGGATTTCTTGCAATTCTTTTTGCAATAACCAAGGTGTGTTAGAGTTTCAGTACAACTGTAATGTAACAAAGATAACTTCATGCTTTTTCGGTGTAAATTCACTTGTTATTTTTTATAGTTACATTTGCAATGTGTGTACTGCCTCACTGTTTAGTGGCTGAAATCCAGCAGTCAGTTGCAACAAAGGAAGGACCATTGAGGATTTGCTAACTCAACTCCTATGTAAATTCCATTGATTTAACAAGTCTACTCTAGCTGCAATTTACTACTGGATTTTATCTAGTATTTTGTAGCTGAATGTTTTGTAGCATTGGCATGTTTTAGGAAAAGTAAGAAAGGTTTGTCCAGATGGGTATATAGATCACTGTTAGTACAGTTTGGTTTGAGGCAAATTATGGCATCTGCATGTATATGTATTTCTGCTAAGATTGATCCATTCTCCTCCTTAAGAGCTGTTCCATTCCTTTTTGGAACAGTACTAGGGGATTTTGTTTTGTTTTGTTTTTGTTTTGGTATGATTCCGGGTTCTCCTAACTATTCTGTTGTGTAGCCTGGGAGGACGGTTATTTCATACCCAAATGGAGCTGTGGATGGCATTATCTGAGGTGACAACCCTGTGATACATTAGGTGGGTTATGACATTAAAAGGGAGAAGGGAGAAACACCCTCCTATATTTTGTCTTCTTTTTGAAAAGTAAACCAGGTAAACTTACATGTGAGCAACTAGAGTAAACCTTGCTTGTGAATAAATTGTAAACTGGTTCATAAATAAACCTGCAATCCAAAGACCTCCATCTCACAGGAGAATAAACATCTGCAGTATGAACAGAAGGACTACTGAAATGTGAGATAAAATAGAAAAGAAACTTTTAGGCATGAACCAGATAACTCAAAATCCTTGTCTAGACAGGCCCAACATTACTTTTATTTACCTCTGAATAACAGGAAAATAAAGATGGTGAGTAACTCATTTTTGGGTTTTGAAACAGATTATAATAATTACTTAAAAAAAACTTTCTAAACTCAGAGGTGGGATCTATAGGCAAGGGCAGCCCCAAGAATCTAAATGCAACTTTGAGAAATATGGGATCATTCATTCTATGCCATGAAAATAAGTTTTCAGATGCTTTGGTTACAAGTCCATCATTCCCATTAATGTTTTTTCTTTTTTAAAAAAAAAATCACCTTTTCAGATGTCACTCTACCTCTAGCCCGATTTTTTTTTACCCACCAATAGAATAATGCTATAGTCCAGACAATATTTACTCTGGAGAATGTTTTATTATATTTTTAATAACAATGAAGTCTACACACACACACACACACACACACACACACAAAGCAAGAGTTTCTGATCTGTGGACCTGCAAGAAAAAAAGGTAGCAATCACTATGCAGAAGAATGGGTGGCTGACATTTCACAGCCATTCTTCACAAACAATACTTGCATGCATTCCCATCTCCCATTTCTTGATTCTTAGAAAACAAACTATTGATTCTTCCAGCATTTCATTGAAAGTACAGCCACAGAGATTTAAAAAAGAAATACTGCACAAAGCTGTTTAAATGATATCATTGTCCAAATACAGCAGGGATGGGGAGCCCATGACTCCCCAGAAATTCTGGGACTACCAAAATATGGTGGTTAAAGGTGAAAGGATTTGGAGTCCAATGGCGTTTATCAGGTTATAGTTTTCCTAGAAGCTTGCCAGATTTAGAGACTGAAAACTGGAGAGCTGATACAGCAAGATGTAAAGCAACCACACCTTCTCCTTCCCATTCCTGCCTTGCAGGGCAAGCCCTGTCATTAGGCAGAGAGTGGAGGCCACTTTAGGAACTTGACTTTGGGTGTCATGAAAGGGAAGCAAGGTTGTTGGTAACTTAACATATTATTTTTGTGTTTCACTCACTTGCTTGTGGAATTTTTCACCTCTGATGCCAATATTCTTTGGTGTTACGGATACTGTTTCATTTGGGAAGATGGCATTTGCTGCTCTTCTCCAAGCCGCACCCACCTTGCGTGGTCCTGCTTCGCTGGATGAGAAGGACAATGTGGCTTCTGTCTCTCCTAACACAATGGGAGATTTAAATGTATAGGAATGCCCCCCCCCGGCTTTGAATCTTTCAACCACATGCAATCATAACAATAATAATATTCTGTTGGATTACGTTGCAAGTTCTCTGTTGACTTTCCCTTGGTCGAAGCATCTGTTATTAAATTATGTGTTTGCTTTCCTATATTGGAAATGAAAAGATAACATTTAGGGGTTTTCACCTTCTTAACTAGACTGGATCCTGAGCCTTTAACAGTAGGATGATATATGCTGAAAATGAGAAAACAAAGCTTTTCCTGTGGTGGAGATAAAATGAGAGGAAAGGCCTTGGCTGCTGACTATCAGCAATGTCAGTTTTTGGTTTAAAGTCATAGGTGCAGCCGGGCCAGCTGGAACCATGATTATGTGATTAGACTGTATGAGATTTTCCTCCAGTTCTGTTCCATGCACTGTATTTTAAGATGAACACATGGAGCGGGTGAGTATCATTCCTTTAAATTCCACTCCTCTCTCCCAAAACTTTTGTAAAACAAACTGTTGCAGGAAGTCAGCCTTTTTTTTTCCAGGCAAGGAGAGCATCCACTTTGCTGTGATTTACTGGGTTATCAAAAGGACTTTGTATACAATCTCTTCCAGCAAAAAGGTGGAGAATGCAGAAGTGCTGGCATTTAACAAAAAATACCAACCACAGCAGGAAGTCATCTCTGCCCAATTACAAGGTGATCTCGGTTCATTTTATGGTTTGATTTTTTCTCTCTCTCTCTATCACATATGTTTTCAAACACAGTTCTGATATCCTGTGGGGATGGCTTTTGTAAAGAGCCAGGGCTTCTGATTGAAGGAGCTTCAGAAATAGCTCTCTCACCCTTGGGGGGTGGGGTGGAGGGGAGAAAGAGGAGAAGAACTGCCTTGTAAGAGCACATATATTTGCTCTGAAAATGAGAAATGTGTCAGAGAAAAAGTTAACAGCAAAATTAGCATTGCTTGTTTGGAGATCTTGTGATTTTTCAGCATTAGATGTAGCAGTAGGGAGGGAGGCAAGATTGTTTAGCAAGCAGAAATTACTATTAAAATGAGTGTTGTGCTCAAATACATATCCAAACAGAAGGAATCATCAATTATACAAGCAGTTTTAAAAGGAAGAAATGTGGGTGGGGGGAGACAGGGAAGAGAAGCTATAGACATATTTCCCCCCCCCCTTATAGTCAGCACATTGTTCAATCACAGTATTCAAGAGAAAATCTCATTAATTTTGATACAAATGATCTGCCTTTCTCACCATGGTTTTTTCCTCCTTTCCCTGTGATGTGATGGATGCTGAGCATGGTCTATCAAGCTTCACTTGCTTTGATGTGAGCTGATGTTGAATCACAGGTTCCTTTTATTTAGGATGCCAGGTGTGAAACCAAGGTGTATACATTTGCTTGTATGCCAGCTGTGGAATGGTAAAACCGAGTCAACTTAAAAATATAGTCCCTAGTATTCTGTTGCTTATTAACTGTGTGTGGAACAATCTGCCCCATGGGTGGCTCCTCTCTCCCCACTGCCTTGAAATTCACCTTGTTTTTCAACTGAGTGACCTTTGGCTTGTGTTAACTGAAGATTGCAGAATGTTCTACCCCAAAGCCCTCATTCTTTGCATTTACCTATTAAATGCTTACAATTAAAGGGTGGGGAACCTGTTCAACTACAATTCCCCTCATGTCTCAGCAACACAGGCTGGTTGAGTTACCACTGATGCCAGTTAAATTCAAACAATATCAGGCAGGTCACAATTTCACGCCCATTACATAACAACAATCATTACTTCTCCTTAAGGCCACGATCCCCCTCTTTTATCTTTTCAAAGGCGAGAACAAGTCTCCATCTTTCATTTCATTTGAACTGAAAATCTATGCGATCTAGATCAAGGCAAGTTAGAATCAATTTGGAAGGCAGCATAGGTAAAAGCTTCTGGATAACTCAGAGGATGGGCGTTGGATTTCTCCTTGTGCCTCCTTGACAGAGACTGGCCTCAATGATCCATAAGATCCCTTCCAGCTCTGCAGTTCTAAGATTATTAATCTTATTATTATGAAGCAAGGGAAGGGATAATGGAAGCATCTGGAAGTGTGCACAGATCTACCACAGCAGAACTTTAAGTTGCTTAGACAAATGAGAAAGTGAACCAGAACCTGAACTTTTTACTACTGGAATTATCTGATTTCCTATAGCCTAGCAATTTAGTAATAATGGATGAGTTCCAAGCATAGAAGACCCATGTTTTTCAGCATAGGCCTTGGCTCTCAGGACAAACTGAGAGCCAAACTTGCCTGAAAATGTTTTGTTCCACCGATGTTCACTTATTACATCCAAATGCCCCTGGTATTGCTGGATACTGTGCGACTTATGCCCATGCCTGTGGCAAGCAGTTCCTGGAGCACAAGATTCCTCATTCAGGCATCAGCAAAGCAGCCTGACTGAAATGCTCCTTAGTTGTGATATGTTTTTCTAGGGGAGCAAGAGGCTGTGTAAAGGTCCTTTGTCTAAAGGAAAATTAACACTGTTCTGGAGAACAAATACAAGCCCCTCTCAGAAAAGCCCATCCAGTGCTTGTCCTTCAGAGGGAGCCGATGACTGACATGCAGGTGTGGAAAAACAGTGACACCTAGTGGGCCTAGGAAAGAACCGAAGGGGGTTTATCATCCTTACCACTACAAACTGTATATTTGATGAGTGGAAGTGATGCACTCCTAAAGATATGGCCAGCAGTTCTTGTACCTCTTCTTGTTCAGAAGGAGAAATAAAGATACCAGCCTTCAATATGCAAGGCTGGTCACTCAAGTTATCTGTTTTACTAATTCAGGTCTTCTGCCTTAATGCTTCATCTACCTCATGGCAACTAATGATAAGCATTAGCAAACCTGTGCTGTCGACCAGAATTTAGAGGCTTCGAATGGCAATGATTCCTTCACAGTATTTGTCTTTAAGACCAGGCTCAGCTTCTGTCTCTCAATCTCTCTCTCTGCAGTGTGCTTGCACACACATTCTTCTCCTCAGGCACTTAGGTATTTGTATGGTGTTAGGAGCTGAAATTGAATAGAACACGGAGATAAGATACAGGGAAATAGATGTGTGTGGACTTATAACAGAGAACCGCTTATACCCAGGGAAATGTTCCAAATATATCACTTGCCCTCGTATTACTAAACTGCTAATAAAACTTATGGGAGCAGGATGGTGGAGAGGGAGAGGGGGGTGAAGATAGAAAAGCAAAGCACAAGGTGCTTCACAGTAAAAAGAAATAAACAAAAAGGATAGGATATTCCCAAGTCTCCTCATCACAGGCATTTTATATAAAACCTCTAAATGAAAGCTAAATAATTTGAAAACCATTGTTTTGCTATCACTGTGCATACAGTGTCTTCTCCAGTGGGACTTGGTGCTCTGATAAGTTACGTATCTGTAGGAAATGTTTCATGAGGGCACTGCCCCCCCCCAGTTGCCTGGGATGATATTCTATCCCTATACATCATCATTGGCACAGACTACATGACTACATGAGACTCAGACCCAGAGTACGAGATTTCCAATGTGTTTTCAGATAGTGTATATGGTACATTCACTTCCACAATTTTCCCAGAATATTTTCCAGAAAGAGCTAGGATAACCCATGCCATACTGTAGATACAGACTCTGTCTAGCTGTAAAATTAAACATGTTCCAATCTGTTTAACTATTATAGTTTGTGAAAACTATTATAGTTCATGATGGAATCTCAGGGAACTGTAGTGCTGGAGACAGACATAATGGGCTAAACCCTACAGTTTGCTAATATAATTTTCAGAGCTTTTTTTCCCTTTCCCCTCTGCTTTGTAACCCTTCACCACCTAAAATTCTGCTCTGGAGGGCTTCCCAGCCTTCCAGAGCCATTTTGAGGGCTCCTTAGATAGCTGCTGCGGGTAGTGGGGATTGCTTCCCTTGACCCAGTTCCACTGGATTCTGTCATTCCAAATCTGGAAATCTATAATTGTATCCCAGGCAATAAGAGAAGCACTGCGTACATTCACAGAGCTATATAAACACACTGCCACTGTGAAAGTGATAAAATGTCTTCTCCTCAGAAAGCAGAATAGTTACTTTCTGAACCACAGTTCCAGCTAGGAGGACCACACTAGCCATGCTGCATGGGAATTTCTTTTCCAAGAATTTTTTCTCCTGCTATCCTCTATTGCCCCCTCCCACCTTCAGGCTGTAAAACAGCAAAATACCTCATTAGCTTTTTATTAACTTTCTGTTGTTAGAAGCTGGAGTAGAAGCATGCAGGAATAGAGATGGGAAAAGTTTTCTCTCTTTTTTTGCCTACAGGTCTCGGATTCAGGAATTGCACATTGTAATCTGGACCTGGAATATTTACATCTCTGTGCAAGGAAGGGGCATGAGTGGCAAGAGAAAGATAAAGCAAAACTCTGTCTCAGATTTCTGATAATCATTCAACAATTCTGGATCCATAACGGTGAACTTTGGGTAGGAGAGAAGGAAGCCTTGAAGCCATGCCATGCCATACCATGTCCTGTCCCTCTTCATTCCCTTGCAGGGCCCAAAATTATATTATTTCTATCTTCAATTACATTCTAGCTAAACATTCACTTATAGAAAATGGAAAATCATGACAGTGAATGGTCTAAATCTATAGCATAGGTATGTGCTGACACGTAGGGCAGATTTCCGTTCTGTGTCTGGCCATGTTAATTTTTATACATCTATTTTCTTACAGTGCAACTGTGGAGATGGATCAACCTTGCTGTGTTCTTCTATGTATGGCATCACCCTCTTTGCCATGTATTATCTTGCTCTATCTCACACCAGTCCAATCCAAATTCGACTCATCTGCTCTACAGACCTGGATCTTGGTATATGCTGTCAGCTTCTTATTAAGCCATACTCTCTTTGTGAATCTAGAGAACATGGTAGCTGCTTTGCCAATGCGTTTATCCAGCTTGACATCTAGGGAGAGGGTGTCAGAGATCGTTGAGCCAAGGTACACAAAGTCATGAACAGCCTCCAATTCTTGTGTGCAGATGGTAATAGAGGGAGGGGAGTCCATGCCCTGGCCCATGACTTGTGTTTTCTTAAGGCTGATTGTTAATCCAAAGTCTTCGCAGGCCTTGCTAAAATGATTCATGAGCTGTTGGAGGTCTTCAGCAGAGTGGGCAACAACAGCTGCATCATCAGCAAAGAGGAAGTTCTGCATGCATTTCAAGTTGGACTTTGGTCTTTGCTCTCAATCTAGAGAGATTAAAGAGCTTTCCATCTGATCTAGCCCAGAGATAGACACCTTCTGCTGCAGTTCCAAAGGCATTCTTCAGCATGACAGCAAAAAAGAACCCAAACAGGGTCAGTGCAAGGACATAGCCCGGTTTCACTCTGCTTCAGACGTCAAAGGGATCTGATGTTGAGCCATCAAAAACTACAGTGCCCTTCATTTCCTCATGAAAGGCCCCAATGACGTTAAGGAGTCGAGGTGGACATCCAATCTTGGGAAGTATTTTAAAAAGGCTGTCCCTGTGAATCAAATCAAAGGCCTTTGTGAGATCTATGAAGGCCACAAAGAGTGCCTGTTGTTGTTCCCTACATTTCTCCTGCAGTTATCAGAGGGAGAATACCATGTCAGTACTGGATCTATTAGCTCAAAATCCAAACTGTGATACTGGATAGACTCTGTCTGCAAGCACCTGGAGCCTCTTCAGCACATCTCGCACAAGAGGCTTCCCTACAATGCTGAGAAGAGAGATGCCACAGTAGTTATTGGAGTCACCCGTCTCCTTTGTTCTTATACAATGTGACCATGTTTGCATCCTTCATGTCCTGTGGTACGCCACCTTCCCTTAAGCAAAGACAAAAGATTTCATGCAGCTGGGCGATGATGATCTCTTTACACCACTTTAGCAGGGATATGATCCTACCTAGGTGCCTTGCCGAAGGCGAGGGAATCCAAGGCCGCTTTTATTTCTGCTAAAGTTGGTTCGCTGTCCAACTCTTCCAAGACAGGCAGGCACTCAATGTTATTTAATGCCTCCTTGGTTACTAAATTCTCTCTAGAATATAGCTCAAAGTAGTGCTGCACCCAGCATTCCAGCTGCTGTGCTTGGTCCTGGATGGTCACGCCTGTAGCAGTCTTCAAAGGAGCAGATTTCTTCTGTATTGGACCTAAAGCCTGCTTGATGCCATCATACATTCCCTTGATGTTACCTGTGTCCTCTGCTATCTATATCTGAGAGCAGAGCTGAGGCCAATAATCGTTAGAACATTTCCTGGCAGTCTGTTGGACTTTGCTACGAGCCACTTGAAGAGCTTGCAAG